CGACGTTTATTATGCATCGGATATCAAGTAAATTATTTACGTCGCATATTAAATTGTGTCATATGCAGAGCAAATATAAAGGGAATGTCTGTTACTAGATTAAGAATGATTCCGAAAAATGTCACGTTATTAAATATCATCATGATCGTTTGAATTTCAAATCTCCAATTAAATCAAAAGTCTCTCGAACTCTTTTAAACGAAAACGGTAGGAAAAGTTGTGTCGTTCTTGCTTGATTGACACGGAATTCAGAGGGGTCGACAATCTTTCGCGCCACTCGCAAGCGTTGACTCTCCCCTCCGCGATCAGTTGATTTGCGTTAAAAAGCGGAAAAATAAAAGAACGTTTCGTCGGGAAGACAGGCGGAAAAACGAGCAAGGTACGGCGGGAGTAGACGATGAAAAAGAGGAAGGTGGCGGACGTGCACGAGCACCCAGATGACGAGAGGCTACGAATAGAAGCAAGTTTAATAACGGTGAATCGGCGATAGGCTCGGTGTGCAGAAGTTCCGGCTTGTAATCGGCTCAAACGATTGTTTAACCTTATCGCGTGCAGCGGCGAATGCAAATCCTATATAGGTATACATTGCGTAACCGTTGCTCGCGGGAGCGATCAGGATTCGATAAACCAAAACTATCGCGAGCCGGTACACGACCTCTCTCACTCTCTCTCTCTCTCTTTACAACGTATCCTCCGCGAATAATGGATTTATGACGCGCGCGTTAGGCTTGAAATACACGCATTACGGATTAGCGTCACTCGCTCCCGCGAAACTACGCGTCTAATGTACGTCGCTCTTTACAGCACGGCGCTATTTACCGATATATGTAGCGGATCGTCATAAACCGATTAAAGTATGATTTCAGTTGAAGATATAAAGATATCGTGGAAGCAGTCGCTTATAAATCGCGTTTCCATGTTATTATACTTGCGATAATGAAAATTACAATTTTCGAAAAATGACTAACAGTGAAAGTCAGTTAGTCAAACGTGTCGATGGATTGCGCTCGCGGATGAGAACTTGACGCGGCAGACAATTCGAAGACTGATATAAGATCACTCCTACGCTGATAATCAATCTCACTAATTAATATCCAACGAAGAGATAACGCGCGATCGGTTATTTTCGCCTTCTTTTACTGAGAACTTATTTTTGCCAATAAACAGATTAACTTCTGAGAAGGGAGAATTCGCGCTGAATCTCTATCTAAATCGATCTGGAGTGCCTCGTTATCGAAGCACTTCGTTCAGGAACACACATTAGCGTGACAGGGTGAATAAGTGATAATAATAGCTTTCCAATGCGATAACCTTGTCGACGCGAATTTTTGACTAATATAAAATTCACCTTCGTCGAACGGGACGCATTATGTGTATGTTAATTCGCGAGAAGTAGCGAGCGGCGTTGAGTAATGGAGGAAACTAGTAACTGTCACTCTGACTTTTGTAGGAATGACCGGCAAGGCACAGGGTTGCAATGGAACTTTTCTGTTCGTCTAATTATCCTAACGGCTGACCTCGACCGTCCACACTCCCTTATCGCCCCCTACGGTGTTCTGCTTCTCGTCTGCTTTTACATAATTGTTAATGCTGTTAATATTAACAATGTGATTTTTAATGTTCTTTATATAATATCACATATATCTTTGACTCGATATTTCTTAATTGTTCATTTAATATCTAACTCACTTATTCTTAAATTATAATTTTGAATGTAATTTATTCTTATCAAATAAATAATATTCGAGAAAATATATAGTTACATTTAATTTCATATATAACATCTTTAACATATAGTTATGTCCTTAATTGCTAATTTTATCACAATATAATATTCTTTTCTAAACGTATCTTCTAATTTCGAAACTCTCTCTCTCTCTCTCTCTCTGCAAGAATAACTTCCAAAATTAATCGCCCGAACGCGAGACAGGAAGTTCGCCGCGATCTGTATTTTTAATCTCGCTCAAAGCCCGAGCTTTACGGCTTACGATCAGTTAGCATCGACTCTGAATCGTCGCAGCAAACAGCGGCTCGTTAAGACGACTGAAGTCGGCTTTCGCCTCGGATTTCCGATGCATATACCGGGATAATTAATGGTAAACGCATCGCGGCGGTGATAGGCGGGCCGTGCGAGCACCTCTTGCGTCTGCCACAGTCGAGACAGGTGCCACGGATCGGGGCAGTCTCGCGGTCAGGATTTCTACGTCGAATGAATAATGCGAATGTACTTGCATCCCGGCGTCCGATCGTACGTAGGAAAGGAAGGCGAAGTCGTCAGTGCGCTCCGCCTCGGCATTATCCGCTCCAACGTTCGCTCGCGCGAGCGCACGTGTGCAAGACGCGCTAAGTACGCACACGAACACGCATGGTCGAGGACTAAAGGCATGCTGCGTGCAGAAACACGGGAGAGGGGGAGAGAAAGATAGATAGATAGGGAAGAGTAGAGAAGCAGAGAAAGCCTCGTGGGCATAAACTGCTATATGCCGAAATGTACCGAAACGGTGCAAGGCGAAGCTCGTATTCATTGCCCTTCGGATTGTTTCCCAGCAGCCATAGTCCCATTCACAACGGCGGGACATGGTTCACGATAAATTAACGTTAAGCGAAGATACATGCGTTATACGTGAAACTAAATAATTTATTTTATTTGGATTAAGTAAATATTACTTGAATGCAGCACTTTTTTTCATTCAGTGTGCTACATTCAAGTAATAATATTTTCTTAATCCAAATAAAATAAACTACTTTAATACTCCTTAGCAAATATTTACCTGAACGTAGCAATTCTTTTTTTCAGCGTAATTATATCAGTTTATTATCGATATCTCCTGCGTAATTGTATATTAGATAATTCGAGATAAGCTTTCCGCTATAACCAGTGGAAAAGAAACTGCGTATTGCTTCTACAAATTTATTATGTAATATCTGTGGTATCCCAGTACTGCGTAGTCTTTTAATTACAGCGAGCTAATTATTTAATTCGCCAGGAGTGTAAAATGAAGAAGAATGTGTAAACATACTTCCATATAAAAGCGAGTATCTAAAAAGAAACGTAATTAAATATTTAATCGTAATTAAATCGATTGTTCAATTGTGTCCCGCTATTTTATTATAGCAATACACGATTCTTTAATCGCAATAGCTGCTGCTGAAAATAACAGGCAAGAACGTTTTCCGTACGAGGAATGTATAGTCCACGTATATATTATTCGTTTAGATATGCAATATTTATTTTTACCGAGTGTCGTCGAGCAAGAGACGTTCCGCGACATATAACCGACGTTACAGCCCCTTTGCGAGAATTTCACGGCTGTTACGGCCCATATTCTGTCACCGTATATCCACCAATTGACTTAATGATCCGAGTGAATCTATTCTCGATGCAGGACCTAAGTGCATACACGAGGTAACATATTGGATGCTCACACGGTTAACAAGCATCTGAGTAAACAGTCTCCAACAGCCTTGACAAAGCAGCGCAGTAACCCTTGCAATTGGGAAGCTTCCTCATTAGGGGAATTCACAATGAAAGATCAAAATACAATAACTTCCTTCGGATATGAGATCTACTTTTTTCTATTTAAAAAAACAAGAGACAAGATAAAAATCCTCGTGATGTAATTATTGATATCCGAATGTCGTAACACATAATTAACGTAATTATTTTCCTACATATGTTTATTTTACGAATGTTGCATGCTGGTAATATACATATACATGTGACTATAATATATATAAATTGATATGTATTGATATGTATTTATCGAAAAGTTTCTAACCGTATATGTACGTGAAATTTCGTATCTATATATATTTATATAGAATAAAATTTAATGCATCAAGCCCAAGTGCTTAGTGATGGTTTCTGAATGTATGAACAGCATCGACAGTTGCTTACCGAAGATGCATTGAATTCACGATCGTGTGGGTGTGCATGTACACGATAGGCATGGTGTATACGATGGGCGATTACATTAGACGAGAAGCGCACGTGTATTATGGAGAGCTTCGTCCCTATTATGAAATCCATACCAAATATCTGATATGATGGTTTCTCATTGATGATAATAGTACATTTATTGCTTATATTTTAACGATATAAATGATAAGTCTCCGTTGCGTGAATTATAATATTTCCAGAGATGAGGTGATTCAAGTATGACTCTGATAGAATTCTCGCAGCAATCGTATGACAAAAATATTTGTTCAGTATATTGGAAACACTTGTGACGACTTTCTGTTGTAATCTACTCGATGAATCATACGCCAGAATAGAAGTGCGCGCAATGTGTGTGTGTGGGTGTGTGTGTATGCGTGTGTTACGTTTGTGAATATAACATTCGACGTATCTAATTAAAAATCTAATTAAAATTATCATCAATTATACACTGGCGAATGTCGAGTGCACTATGCACATATGCCAATATGTCAATAGTTATAATAAAGTATGACAATGAATTTAATTAATTGAGCTTTAATTATTGAGTTTTGACATTCTATCACTACGAATAAAACGATAAAATTATTGGTAATCATGTTATAATAATTTATTTTATTTGGATTAAGTAAATATTACTTGAATGCAACACTTTTTTTCATTCAGTGTGCTACACTGAATTGCAAAGAGTAAGTTGTGATGAAAATATGATCCGTAATATTGTCAGTTCGTTTGACTCTAATAATTATGAATTGTGTTACACATAAATTTTTCAATAGAAAAATTTACTAGTTAGTTTTTATTATGACGAATATAACATAATATTGTCTCGAAAGATAATAAATGTCGCGACAAATTGATATATGTCGTATTGATCAAAACGACGTTTCGTGGAATGTAATCTTCTTGAACAAAACGGCATATCAAAGAGAAATAATCGTGATAAGCTGAGCGATAAGAGATTACTGTGCGTATTTAAGCACGAATTGCGCACAATGCTGACAGAACTCGAATAGTCTTCCTTCAGTAAGTTTCGCAGTTTTCGACCGTAAAGCCAACCAAAATGTCGGCGCAGAAATACATAATCACTGTGGGCCTCGTGATCGCCGCTCTACTGGCCATCAACATTGGAACCGCTACTGGCTTCAGTTCCCTTGCTGCTGCAAACAAATCGCACAATCTGATCGTCGGCTACAGGTTGCCAGGTGACAGACTCGTAGTTAGACAGAGTATCGTCAAGAACTCCTCCTGGATGAGGATCGTGACTGAAGAGAAGACCTTCAATACCACGAGATACGAACGCATTACCCTTATTCAAGCGCTCGATCAGAAAACAAACGGCAATGGTGCTTACGCGAGTATCTTGAACGGTGGACCAGGACACACCAACTGTACCATGAGATTCAAGAGCCAGAGAGGTCATGGTATCAACTTCGTCGTCGAGGTTTACGCCCGCGCTTGAAGGACTAACTTTGATGGGAGCGGTCGTTATTACGACCAATATGGGATGGTTTCTGGACGCAATTATAATGAAGAAGTAAACTAATCCAGAAGATCGTGACGTTACGCATCCAGTTATTTACTTTTTGCAACATTGTCACGAGTCATCGTCAAGGACAGTATGTCGTTTGGTATTTTTGTTGTCCACTTCAGTATTGACTTTGTATGTATCACAAATAAATCAATGGAATTACTTTAATTATTTGCATTATTTTGATTTAGATTTAAATATAAATATCGATCAAGACATACAAATCACAATATAAATGGAAGTAATTTGATAAATTAAAAACACATGTGTACGAAATTCACATGTGAAATGTCGTAATTTAGAAATCTCTATCCCATATTTTCATGCACACGATTAAAGCCGTTGACATTCACCTTTATCGCGCGTATATCATCTCTATTTATATCTCGCTGTTATCTTACGGTATTCGATATTACACAATATGACGCGACGCGAGACGAAAAGAATAGGAGTGACGATGCGAACGCCGGAGAAGGAATTTGGAAGAAGTGTCGATAATAACGCAATTAGCGTCGAAGAACGAGACGCGACAGCGATTCCGAATAAAAACGGACCGCGAGGAATCCACTCGCGGAATGTCTTTCTTATACGCGCTAATTAAGCACCGGCCGTTTCTCTTCGAGACTCCCGATAATTCCCCCTTTTTTCCCGCCCGTTTCTTCGGGGCTCGAGGCGGAATCCCCGGCCGGTTGGAGTTCGGGGTCGTCTCCAAAGAACCGTGCGAGGCAACGGACGGGGCACGACAGGGAAGTAGAGAGGAACATCTTCTATTTCCGAGGCTTACGTACAAAGTACGTTTTGCGCATGCATGCATGGCGGCACGGAGGAGGAACAACCGACTGGAAAATTGTTGTCGCTTCGTGGCGCATTCTAACACGGGTATCCCGCCGGCTAGGAGGAAACTTCGAATCGAGTTGAGGACCACTGGAAATTGGTGGCGGTATCTCAAGCTTGCGAACGACCATTTCGTTAACCTACTTATTCTACCTCCGTTTCAGCCGCGTTGCTCGCGAAGCCACGCCGGAGTACCTAGTTTGTCCGCAGTTTCCGCTTCTGAAAACTACGCGCGGAAGGGAGGAGCGTAATTCGCGGTTCTACGTGGTGCTCTTCATTGATTGCGTTTTAATGGATTTCGTCAGGGAGGAGGACCTATCGGCCCACGGCTCTCGACGATCGTTTGTGTTTCCGATGTGTAAGCGAAGTTATCGGCTACTTCGGATATCCGACGTATAGAGTATCCCGCGCTACGCCGAGTACCGTCACGCTGTCCCAGTTCTGTCACGAACGAAGACAGGACCGCCGTATGTAAAAGGGATTATATTTGTGGAGTAGACAGAAGCATGTACAATTTTTATATGTGAAAATTGAGGTCGGGACAAGGTTATAAGCGTAACACCCCGGCCATTTCCGTGTACAGTAGAGCGCGTCGCTTACAGAGGGAAATATGTTTCGCGAAGATCAATTTGGTTTTCGATATTCTAGTATTTACAAAATTACACAGGTGTTGTAAATCGAGCTGTTACTTTTTTGCTCGAACTGTTTCGTGTGTCCGTCGAGGAAGTAAAAGCGGGTGATGTCACAGAAACAAGATGTTTTGCCAACTTTAAGAAAATACTGATAAGCATATCTAAATTTAAATATTATGCATATAACTATGCATGATAACGTGTCAATACATTTGCAATATTTCTCAAGTAATACCTGATATCGAACTGTTTTAATAATAAATTCGTGTTTTCCCGGAGGCAAAGCAACATTTGACGGTACCGCGCTTAAGACGCTAGTGCCACACTTATTCATATCAAGATTGATTCACGCGTCTATACGTGGAAGTCCTCGAATGTAGCTGGTTTAGAAAAAAGTCACGGAACTTGAAACTTTTCTTAGCGCGAATCGGGCTCTAAACATAGCGCATCGGGATACATTAAAATTATATCGCGCGACTATTCTGACGAGAGAACGAGGTCTAAGACTCTATATTTGGACACTGAACGGTATAAAGTCGTATCGTTCTGTGAAACGCGACACATGCGATACAGCGTAAGAGAGACGGTATTATTTCCGTTGTAATGCCGCAAAAAATAGAATCGCTCATAAACGAGCGCTATATTTGTTCTTTGACGTACATGCGGAGAGTACGCGCGCACTCGTCGATCGACGGCACTAGAGCTCGACTTCGAAGTCGCATCCCCTTTTGTCGCGAGGTCGATCGACACCGAGTCATCGAGTCTTGTGGATGGTAGTGAACGCTGAGCATCTCGTTTCGGTAAGCTTTTTACAAATTGAAGGCCCCAACATCTTTCGGGACGTAAAAGCCGGTTGCTACGTCGCGAAGCTCAAGGCTCACTTGGACGAACGTTGAAAATATTTAAAACAGCACTTTAAATAACGTTTTCAGCGGAGTACGTCGAGAACACGGATTCTCTCTGAGTGTATATATTCCCGAGTGAAATTCTACGCGAAGATCGCGAAAACGCAGTTCGCAACGCTCGACCCGAGCCGGACCGCTCGGTGTGTGACCGGATGAGAGACGTACGTGTCCCTGAGAGTCGCAGACCACCGTGTGGCTCGTCATGAGAGGAATCACGTTTTATTTTCCCGTCTGCCCGCTGACCGTGATAAGGAGGGCTCGCGTCTCGTAAAACACGTATGCATAAAAAAGTCCGCGACCGCACCTGGCAGCCAGCGGCGGTGATGCAGGGGCGTAAGGACTGCGACGCGCGTAAACCTGTCGCGCGTTTGGTTATTGCTTATAAAGTCGCGGGACTGACGAGCACGGGCGTGTGCGAGAACAGGGTTGGACAGACAACCCGATGACAGGGATCGGGCGAGGACGAATGAAAGCGTGTTTGCATGAGCATAGCTACAAAAGAACCGGCCGTCAATCCGAAACCGCAGCGGCCATTATCGGGCAATTTTAAACGGAACGCCGTAGTTACGGCTCTCTCGCGCGCGCTTTAGATTCTGCAGTCGTCAAACAACGCAACAACATCCCACGCTGTTCGGCTCTTGGAATCCATGCAAACTGAGTGTCAGTGTAGTACACCGTGACAACAAAGGGACGCGGCAAAACGCGTTTTCGAAAAGTGTGCTCCCGGTGGACCCGCGCACGACTGTTAAAAATCCCGCGAGAAAAAAAGCGCTAATAACAAGCGGCCGCGATTTCTACCGCGTGCAAATTCGTGATTTTCCGCTCTTTTCATCTTTGTAAATCTCGCGGTGATAAACAGACCGCGCCATAACGACAATTTGCAAACGCGAGACGCGAAATATAAATTTTGCGCAAATATACTTCTCTCTGCTCGTAATAATTGAATTTCTACAATTTGAAACGGAGCGAGCGATGAATTTCAGCGCGCGCACGCGGGCGAGGGAGGAGGAAGGAATGTCATAAGTCGGCGGCATATGCTTCTCGAGGCATTGCATGTGTAATGCAAGTCAGTTGAATCGCAAGCATTACGCAGCAAGTCTCGAACGAAATGGTTCTAATGGATTGACCAACTGACTTGCGTTTTTCGTTTGAAACCTCCTGCGAGTCATTTGAAATCCCATGTAAAAGCTGATGAGTTTAAAGCGCTGTGCGTGTCAGAGTTAAATGCGTTCCGCTGACAAGCCATACGCTCCTTTCCTCGTGTGAAATGTATTGTTGTGCAGCATACAACTTGAATTATTATGAATTCCTGCTACGATTATCGCGATTATTATTTTTTCCTTCTGCGAAATTTCACGAGTAGGTTATATCTAGATAGTTTTCTATATTGTATATGTTATAATATATATATATTATATATATTTTCCATTGTATATAATTTTCGGTTAGTTGTAGACGTAAATATTTTAAGAATATTTGATCATTACTATATCTAATCATGAGAGAGATAAAATTATGATAGAAAATATTACACGATGTCGAAAGTGGTGACGCAAAGGGCGAGCAATTATAATTAATTATAATTAAGACGTTAGAGTATTATATTGGAATTCCGCGTCTTGCGAGCGTTTAGCTTGCCATTCTCCCGTCCTTTGATATCAAAGCTGCTGATTGGCCACAAATGCAAGATCAGAGTCCGAACATCGGTAGGGTCGGCATGTGGATCAACCATGGTGTCCTGTGCGGTCAGCTCGTTAACCGGTATGAACTACACATCGACTGAGTAATCTCCGCCTGCTTATATAGGAAGCGCGATCGACTAATACCCTTTGATGGCGGACTCCTTGACGCAAAGTCCGATCGAAGCATTTTGGTGAAAATTGCTCATTCAGAGAGCGTTGGGCGCTCACTTTATCCTTTTTCTCCCCTAAATGCGTCGCACAAAGCGATCTTAGTGACGCAAAATCGCGATACCGAATACATTCTTCGTTTTTTCCGACACGTCTCAAGCAATAGCCGAGATCACTTATTCATCGCGAAAGGTTTGATTTATTCATGGATGTATGGCCGCATGCGATTAGCTAACTGCCGGCGCTCAGATTTAATTCATGGCAACAAGGGTGGATAACTCGCCGGCACTATATTCGTCGAGTAATCGCTTAAGATGTCACTAAGTACAGCGATTTTTCTTACGTTCGTACCCGCGGCCGGAGATACGTTCGTAGCAGATAAGCGGAAAGATACCGGAAAGAAGAATTAAAAGAAGATCAGCGTTCCGAGAGTACGCGAATTTTTCAACATCAAACATTCAGAAGGAATAGAGTGGGGAACTAGGGCAACCAGTTTAAAAGCCCGGGCTACTTTAACACCGGGGAGTACTATTCAGTCTCTCGTCTCTGAAAAATCTTTTTATTCTAACCGTACATTTGTATGTACCCATACATATGTACAGGCGCGGCAGTAGTGGCGGCGGCGGCGGAGGCGGCGGCACAGTCGCACTTTATTGAGCGAATTTCATTCTCGTTTATAGTTACGACCATCGTGAGGTACAAGAGAGAAA